AGCCACGAGGAATTATTCGGAAATTCGACGTCAACCTGCGAGCAAACCACAGGAAGACCCCGAGGAGGAGGATGACAATGATGATTATGTCCCCATAGACCCACCAATTACCATTATGACCCGGATACTGATCGAATTATCTACGATAAAACCCACGACCGAAAAATCTGTGGAGGAAATTGTCGAGGAGTATTTTGAAGAGGAACCAGAGGAGGTGATAACTACGAAGAAGCCTCCACCTGTGCATAAGACGGTTTTTCATAAGGATGTGCTAAATAAAGCTAATGGAAAGACACTTGTTGATTTCATAGCGTTATTGAAGTCAGACCCGTCTTATAAGCCTATTGAAGATCCTACAACTACCAAAGAACCACCTTCTACGACTACTCAAAAGCTGCTTCAACCACACCTCCTGAGTTTTTGAAATTTTTGGATAAGTTACACTCTAGTGAAGGGTATAAGAAGATAGACAATCCGGAAGATGTCCCTGCTGCAAAAAGAAACCGAAGACAACTACAGAAGCTCCTGTTGAAGAAGAAGAAGAAGAGAAAGAGGTAGTACCGGCGGGTAGTGTACAAAACTCACCAGGTGGTCAGTTTGGACCTGATGGAGGTCTACAAATCTTTGATATCAATGATTACTTACCAAAAGTGAAGACCTACACTCCAAGAACCTCAATTGATTATTCAAAGTATAAAACTATTGAGAGGACTACGTCAAGACATAATTTGAGCAGTCGTTATAGTGAAGAAGATGAAGAACCCTTTGAAAAACGTCCAACTGAAGCACCTACAGCTTCAAAGTATCAAACAGCTCCCCCTAGACCCAAATCACCACCAAAAGAAGAAAAGGAAGAAGATGATACGCCACAGGTGGCTGCTGTGACACAAAACAAAGACGAAGAAGAAAAAGAAGACGAAGTAACTACAACTTCCAAACCCACAACGACCACATCAGCTGTAAAGATCCGTATCCGTGGCAGGCAGCGACCTACAAGACGTCCCACACGTACCACCACAACCACCAAACCACTTTCCGAGGTTCCCACCGATGAAGTAACATCTGATCCTGTTGAAAATTACACCCCAGCGACACATCGTCCCCCATCTCGAGTTTATCCACGTCGCCATCGGCCAAAAATCCGTGTCCGATCAACCACCACTCCAACTTCAGTTCCAGTGGAGCTTGACAACGATGAGGATTCCTCCGAAACAAAACGAAGAACCATCCGCCGTCAGCAACATGTGATACCGGCGAATCACAAGCCCGATTACACTCCGCTCACGATCTCGAAGCGCATGGACGATTATCCCACGATGCTTGTGCAGCGTCAGGCGCGGCTTGTAACACCCGAGATAATAAATTATAATCAGACCGCCGGCGGCACGGCAAGCCGCCCCGGAGAGATCAACCCGCGGCAGTTCGCCGCGCGATATAAAGTTGCTCGCTTTGCAACCCAAGCCTCGACGGGAAGTCAAGATAAAGACGCGCCAGAGGTGCAGATTAGGCTGGATTCGAGAAACATTGACAGGAGCGATGCCCCCAACGCACGCAGTCCTGTAAAGTTCATCAAGGATCCAAATAAGCGACTCTACTTCTACGCACCGTTATGATGAGAGTATTTGTTATCTAGTACTATCTATTTGTTATTGTAAATAAATAAATTAAATTTTACTTTTTGCGATGTGTGTTTTTTTCCTCTGTTGTCGTTTGGATAATTTCAGGAACAGTTCGTAATCTAGTGTTTTGACTCGTAGCAGCACCTGAGGCGGAAAAAACCATGTGAAAAATGATCGTACTCTCGAAGACACCGTCGAAGAAAATCTTTCACTCGACGCTGGAAATGCTGTCGCTGGACAAGGACGTAGCGTCCACCTTTCAGCCGAAAGCTACGGAAAGTGTCGCAGCTAGACAACAAACATTCGATGGCGCGTTCAACGGGCAAGGTAAAATCAATATCCATTACTAATGTGTTTAGGCCCGAAGGCATTTTATTTACGTACCGAAACACACTCGGACCTGTCTTGTTGAACGAGGGATAACACGATATCCATTGATATTCGCCATTTTTCACTGCGTTTTTTTTTGCGATTTTTTTCGCGCTGGAAAACACGCTTTTATTTTATTATTCGCCTAGTATTCACTTAGCATTCAGCCTTCGTGCATGATTAACGTCGTACGTGTACCGCGCAGGTTGAACATAAGCCCACGGGAATATATTGCTGTCCAGGATGACAAAAGACACGCCTAGACAAGTGCCGGTTGTGCGGCATTAAAATTTAAGCGCTGAATGCGATGCGTTGTTTTATGGGATGCTACGGGTCTTAATATTTCATAAGGATTACAAATGCTTCGCTTTTGATAAATTGCACGATTTCGATTGATACATATTTGTGTTTGCTTAGAGTACTTCTACCCGTTGATCATCGCCTCGATTGGATTGACCGTGTTTCTGGTGACTGTCGCTGTCGTCCTGGTGCGGAAACATCGCATCAAGCGGGAGGATAGCGCCAACAAAGCCAGCAGCATATTGGTTTATCCATCGCAACAAGGATCTCTCCAACCGCAATTCTTGTAAGCTGCGAGTCTTATAATACTTCTTTATAGAAAACTAATTTCATCAAAACTTATTTTTAAAGGACTAAGGAAATTCACTTCAGTTTACCGCCATTGAGGAGTACTTCGTTGGGAGATCTGCATGAGACCGAACAGGACTCTGATGTTGACATTGAAACTGAATCTCTGTTGCCAACTACTCAACATAACCAAAGATCACATTCTTTCAGTATGTATCAACACATATCTACAACCTATACCTGTCATAATATATTACGTATTAAGTGGCTAAATAGGAGTTTTAGTCACGCCGTGACTAAAGCTCGTGACTAAAGTACTTTAGTCACGGCCTTGGCCGTCCGTGTTTAAAATACCACTTTCTGTGTCTAAAAATCCTGGAAAACTGACACTTTAAAGGTGGAAGTATAAAAATGAATTTATCTATTTATTTTCATACAGGTTGCTATGGCCTAGGAGTAATTGAACCAGCTCTATACAAGAATACCCTGGACTTGGATGATATTCAATGGCCGGATGGACATATTGGACGAATCTGGTTCTCCTTACGATACGAACCATCAACTGAAAAACTTCTGGTATCCCTGCTAAAGGCCAAGAACTTACCATCAAGAACCCTGGGAACTGTCAACAGTTGTGATCCATATGTCAGGTAATGAGTTTACCCAAAATTATAAAAAAAAGATATTTAAATTCCGTTATTATTTCAGATTGCACTTGATGCCAGATGAAAGACGATACTTACAGTCAAAGCAAAAAAAGAAGACCTGCAATCCATACTTTGATGAAACACTGGTCTTTCATGTAAGAACCACTTGTTACCAGCCCAACAGAAAAAAAAAACTAAAACGTTTCTATTGATCTTTAGGTGTCTCCGAAAGATATGTCCGATCATTATTTGAAGTTAACGGTGATTGATGGCGGACGGACCAAGCGGCGTGCTGAAATCGGCCACGTCACCTATCTCCTCAAGGAATTGGAAATCGGAGACGGGTCTGAACAGCAACTCTTCAAGCTTGACTTGGAAAAGGTGATAGGTTCTACATATATCAATTTTTTTCAATGTTAATAGCATTTGTCTTTACAGGAAACTACAGAAATTCGATCGGATCTGGGTGAGCTTCTCATTTCATTGGTATATAATGAAAACCTGTGTCGTCTGACCGCTACTGTCATCGAGGCTCGTCGACTCAAGGTAAGTAACAAATATTATATTATATTTTAAACATATGAAAACAGAATAATAGCAGTACAACTAAATAACATTCCAAAGATAAAAGTAAGTACAAGTTTCATCCAGTGAGTGAAAAGGAATTCTCGTTTCCTCATTAAATGCTTCAATATAAACAGGTTGCGATCATTGTAAGGCGGGTACCTGATGTTTTCAATCCTCTCTACTGAGGAATTCAAAGGTTTCTTCAACACACTCTTCTCATGTGTGAATGCGTCGAAGGTCTTCTTTCCGTGGTAACTCCCAAACCCACTTGCACCCACACCTCCAAATGGTAAACTTGCTGGTGCGACGTGTATCAATACATCGTTTACGGCCACACCACCAGAGGAGGTTCTGGTGATCAAATGTTCAACCACCTGCTGATTCCTAGCAAAAATGTAAAAGGCCAAAGGTTTTTCTCTTGCTCTTAGAAAAGAGACTACCTCATCCGGATTCTGTATTACTACTATTGGTAGTATTGGTCCATAGGTTTCCTCATACATCAAAGAAAAGTTGGGAGTTACATTTGCCAGAATAGTTGGTTCAAAGTATAAAGTCTCGCGATCATGGTGCCCACCATATGCTATCTCCTTACCATTTAGGTAGGATACCAATTGGTCAAATTGTCCTTTAGATATGATACGTGCATAATCAGGGGATTGTTGTGGATCACCATAAAACGCAGAGATGACTCCGGGTACCTCTCGGATAAAACTCTTCATCACCTCTTGCGTGCAGAGGATATAACCAGGGGCAATACAAGTCTGACCAGCGTTCACACACTTACCCCACATTACCCTCTGAACGGTAAGATAGATATCTGCTGATTCATCTATATAAACAGGATTTTGACTGCCTACCACGAACGTACCAGGAATAAACGCCGTGGCACAAATCGCCTGTAAAGTTTTTTGCTTTGTTTAGAGTTCCTGTGTAGAATAAATAATCAATATCAGGTTGTTTCCTGATTGATCCATCAGACACCAAATAACAGGACCCATCCAAGTAGTTATTGAGTTGTTCAATTAGGAATTTTGTGGTATGTGTTGCCATTTCCGGAGGTTGTATCACCACACAGTTCCCTGCTGCTATGGCACTTGCTAGAGGTTTCAAGGTACTCCGGAAGGGATAATTCCATGCACCGACAATAAACACAACCCCATATGGGTCACGGTAAATTTGTGGGGTACCAAAAAAGTCCATAAGGCGTTTGTAGGTGTTCTTCGGCTTCAACCATTTTTTAAATTTACTGAGAACATTAAGCACATCATTCTTGAGGAACTCAATTTCAAATAGTGATGCTTCAAACGCATTCTTGCCCAGATCCGCCTTGAGGGCTTGGAGCATCTTATACTCCTTATCCTGGTACATGCGGAATAGATTAGTTAATTGCTTCTCCCGGAAGGAGACCTCCATTGTACGCCCCAGATTGAAACTCTTCCGTGCAATTATCGCCGCATTGTCAAAACTTAGACACTTCGCCACAACTTCTACAACCACTTGCTCCGACATTTTGCGGGCGAATGAAAGATGATGGTCAAAGTATGAAAACATGAAGTAAAAAATAATAATCTGGAAACTAACAAACACGATCGCCTTGGGACCCAAAGCGTCATTCAATAAATATAACAACACAATTTACCGCATACACACAAAAAACGTTGTTATTATAAATTGTTATTATTTTATAAGCCGCGTGATTTAATGAGGTGTCAAAGGGCGTTTTGCACCACGAATAACAAAACTATTAAATTTTTTCGAATTCACGCTCGAGTAAATAAACCTCGGCTCACTTTGAGTTGCATCAACGACTGCCTGCTGAGCTTTGAGTGTTGGTGTTGCAAATGGGACATGGTATGCATCAGGAAATACAATGTGTTTCAATACGAGCGTAAATCTTGCGCGAATCAATCGATGATTCTTAATCGGCTCGGAGCGGTGTGTAACCTGACAAGTTTCCATTTCCATCCGAAGAGAAAGGAGTAACCTGCATTCAGGTAACTGACCGTTCTCAATACGGCAGAAAATCACACATCGCGCGCAAAGTGTGATATTTATGTAAATATTAATTCATCTCACATATTGGATCTTGCACAAAGCACGCAAAACTTGATTTATACCGACAGCAATTGTGAGTTAAAGTTAAAGTTAGGAAACACGAACGAGGAAATGCAACAGTGAAATGTACTTTTGCAAATTGCACGCCTCTGGCCTAGTGAAGCATTCCGGGGATTACCTACCTCTTCGCCAGCCGGATAATTGTATTGTAATTATATCCTAAACGTGCACGGCGCGCAAGTGAAGCAGCTTTCAATTTCCAGCTCACACATCGCCGACAATTGCGTGAAAGTCTGATTACACACTCGTTTCACTCGCGTTTGAACTGCATTCACGCTTATGACATAATCTCACACATAATAAAATTTGCATTCGAATTGAATGAAGCCAAGAAAAGACTTTTCCATATTGGACAGGTCATGGCATCATGCTTCGCGTTTGGTGAATAAACATTTTCGTTCGCTGAATGAATATCGTCATATCGATAGTTTTGCGAATTCGTTTCGACATGCATAGTGCACACTTAAACATTGTTATGGCTACGACATTGCCCAATGCATACATGATGAGTTTTAATTAATAAACCTTTAAAGTAAATAATTATAATAAAGATTAAAAACCAATCGAATGCGCATATATGCTCAATCATGTTTACGCTTTTACTTTGCAAAGTATTGTCATTTGCATGCATGAATAATTGAATGCTACCTCAAGGAGATATCATCATCAGCAGCGGAGGAAAGCAAGTGAAACATAATTCTGGAATCGTATTGACATTGACATCCATTCGGAAATTATTGATTGCGAGTGACAATTAATAAATGAGAATTAATTCCGTGTGATTAGCTGAATGAAGAAGTGCAGTCAGGCGAACGTTGAATAAAAAAGTGTTTCTCTGTTACCTGTGGATTCCAATAACTGGTCTCGCCAATCGATATCGACTCATTTACCTGGATAATTAATGTTGCAAAGTTGCAAGGGGAACAAAGAAATCTCGCGCGTTTTATTTGCACAAACGAGTCAACGAGTTTTAATTATGTATTAAATTATTGCTAAAATTGCTACTAAAAATCATACAATTGATTCTTTAAATAAGAGTTATTACTGCAAACGTAATTGAACGCAAAAGCGCACTGCAATGGTGCAAAGTACCATAATCATAACTAATTAAATTTGCAAACTAGTCGCTCGTAAACAACATTTAAGTTATAAATAATATGTGATACAAATATCATATAATTTGCAACATTAAAACATCAGTAAATAATCTTGTTGTTGGGCTCAATTAAAAACGTAATTTTGCATGACGACAACCACAACCACACCGAGTAAGAACACGAGTAAATACTGAACAGCCGTAACCGGAAACTCCGCGCGCTTCTTGAGGACAAAGTTCAGAAAGCTGCTCTTCGCATCCGTGTATGGCGGATATCGCGGCGCGGTTAATTTATCCGGGATCAGAGCAAAGTCTCTCTTGAGGACGCTCTTCTTATGCACGAAAATATCAAAACTCTTCTTTCCGTGATAGTTCCCCATGCCGGAATTTCCAACTCCTCCAAATGGTAAACTCTCAGTGGTGATGTGCATCAAAGTATCATTCACACACACACCTCCTGAAGATGTCATTTTCAACATCAGCTCAACTTCTTTTTTGTTTTTTGAAAATATATAGAATGCCAGTGGTTTCTCTCGATTGTTGATGAACTCCACAGCTTCGTAGATTGAATTCACGTTGTAAATTGGTAAAATTGGCCCGAAGATCTCCTCGGTCATGATGGGATCACTGGGGTGTACGTCCACAATGATTGTTGGTTCGATGAATCGTTCCTTGGCGTCGTATCCGCCTCCCATGGCGATTTTACCATTGCTCATCATTCCAACCAAGCGATTGAAGTGTTTATCTGTGATGATCCGGCATAGATCCGGGGAACTCTGAACGTTGTTACCATAAAATTCTGTAATTGCTTTCTTGCATGCCTGAATGAATTTTTCTTGGATTGCTTTGGTGCAGAGGATGTAATCCGGGGCAATGCAGGTCTGGCCAAGGTTCAGACACTTCCCCCACATGATTCTGTAAGCAGCCATTTCAATATCTGCTGTGGAATCGATGTAAACAGGACTTTTGCCTCCCAATTCAAGTGTGGTTGGTGTTAGATACTTAGCTGCGGCTTGATGGACAATCTTACCAACCATGGGACTACCAGTGAAGAAGATGTAATCAAATCTTTCTGCTAACAATTCTGTAGTTTCTTCAATGCCACCTTCAAAAACTTGATAACACTCTGTATCCAGATACTTGGGTATTGTCTCCGCGATGAATCTGGCACTTGCACAAGCAATCTCCGAGGGTTTCAGAATCACACAGTTACCAGCTGCTATTGCACCTGCCAAAGGTAGCAGGGTCAACTGCATGGGATAATTCCATGCTCCCATGATTAATACAACTCCAAAGGGATCACTGTAGATTTTCAATTCGTTGAGCAAGTTAGCAATATCCTTCGGTTGATCCTTGGGTTTCATCCAGGACTTGAAATGCATGAGGATATTGGTCAGGTCATTCTTCAACAACTCGGTTTCTCCCAGTGAAGCTTCCGATTTATGCTTACGCAAGTCAACATTCAACGCCTCCCACATTTCCTTCTCGGTCTCGTTATACATCCTTTGTAGATTCTTCAATTGCTGTTCACGGAACTCAACCGTAAGGGTTTTATTGGACTGGAAAGCTCTACGAGCGATCGTCACCACATCCGCAGCGGATTTAATCGGACTCTGCGGCTTGCAGAAAATCGTCTTGCCATTGGGTTCCTCATCGAAGTTAACAACCGCATAGTTGGTCTCACCTAATTCTTCACCCCGGGAACTATGATGACGTTCTCCATCATGGTCCCAAGTTGGTTCCAATCAACCGAATCACTTCACTAAGTTGTAATTTCACCACAGAAATAAACAAACAAACTGAGTTGTACTCGATGCCGGTGTGATGCTCTACCGGCGTCTTATGTCGGGCGAGTGAGGCATACGATTGGCTTCCTGGTCGGCGTGCTTAGTTAATTTATTGGCGCGGTAGTGGCGCGGATACGACGAACGTAACGAACGTCACCAGCCGCACGAACGAAACCCGCTGCTCAAACAAAGCTTTTACGTTTGTTACATTATGCATCTACTACCGCACATAATGCAATCATGTACGGCATTAATTAAACCAGCGTTTTCTGTATTAATTCATAATCAATCCGTTCACCAGTGATCATGATATTGAACATAAACTTGAACAAATGTAACAAAAGTGTTTTTTTTTCTTCTTCGCCAGCGGCCTTGCGAAAAGTTCACATACTTTTAACTCGGAGATAAGCTGACGTGAATGGCGTCCACATACGAACAGATTTTATGAATACCTATATATTAAAATCAATTCAGGGGGGACCTTGAATCATTTTGAATCATTTTCGATTTTAACACGATCGCAGGTTCATATTTGCTGCTGCTATTGCCCGAAATGTGTTCGCATCTGGCCAGCGGCTAGACCGCTAGACCAACAACTCGTTGCGTAACGGCGATAAACGAAAAAAAAAAAACACATCGTATCGTTACTTGTGTTCAAATTGTTAATATGCATAATAAATTAATAACATAAATACCAGTGTTTCTCAACCAACAAAAAATAAATAAATAACAAGGAACCAAATATAACGTTCCGTTCAACTTGTTGATGACCACTACTTTGCATTGACAATGCTAGTTGATAATAATAAATATTAAAAGCGTTGTTGAAATTGTTACATCGCGCAGAAAAAGTTCCGTTCTGCACGGGGAATTCGCGCCGTAATAAATTACGATTAGTAACAAATTGCATAAATTGTGATTTAAAACATTTTTCGATCGTTTGCAAAGCGTTTTCTTTCACGTAAAACACAATGTCAAGATTTTAAGCTAATAAAATATTTAACGAAATCTCTTATCATGAAAAATTGATAACAATTCTCCAAATATCCAGCCATTCATCGATACGGAAGTCGAGTTCACATTACTTATGTAACAAGATGTAATAACAGTGTCTGTTGTCTTGCTGTGCGTACCCAGGTTATAAATACAAAGAAACAAAGTCAAACAAGTGCGTATTCATTATTAATTGGGGAATTTCGACGATGAAAATGTATCTTTACACTCAAATACAATTTTTTTGTTATTTTTAATGGAATCCAAGAAAAACAATGTCAAGATAATTATATCTATTAGTTTTTGCTTTTCTTTACAATCGATGTGAATAGGCACATCAAAAGAAACGTCGGTTTTTATTCAATTGCGAACAAACAAAATAACCGTCCATTAAGCGCGCGGTAATTGATTGTAATTAATTCGCTCTCTCAATGCGAACGTTTCGGAAAACGATGGAACGAATAATGCGGCTGCAGTTTCAGGGTGACAAGCACGAGGCCTACGTCCGCCTGACATTGAATCAGCACTACAAGTCGGTGAAGGAGAAGCGGACGCGCGTGGTGCGCAGCGCTCAGGAGTCCGTCGCCACCTTCACCGAGGGCTTCAACTTCAAGCTGACGCCCTCGCAGATGGACATCACCAGCCTGGCGTTCCACATCTTCCAGTCGACGAGTGGTTATGGTAGGGGTACGTGGCTTTGCATTGTTTCTTAGATGTGCTTTCGCAGTACTCGATGTGAGAATGAAATTAAAATTCAATGAAATTTTTGATCCAACGTAATAATTTAATTCACAATACAAACAAAGCGAAAAAATATGATATGAGTTAAAAACTTGTTAATTAAATAATCATTACTCGACGGTTTGCGGTCATTTCGCCACCCACTGGAGAAAAACCAAAACCACACAATTATTTCATTAATTCATGAATTTGTGCGGTGGTGGGCTTCAGGAACACATGTCAGTTTCGATGGGAAGCTCACGCCTGCTCATGATCATCTAGTTTAGCCCGGTCGGGGAGGTGTGGGTTAATTAAACAGCCCGCACATCGATATAATTACACACTGAACTTTCGCCCGCGCACGCATTACGAACGGACAATCGCAATTATAATATTACCTATGCAGGGATAATAATGATAATCGACGATTGAAAATTTTGTTGTAAGCGATCTCGGCGTAATTGTACGATGCGCTAATATCTGATTAATTTTGCAGATAAATTGATTGGCAAATGCGTGCTGGGATCGTACATGTTCGCCAGGGGCAAGGCGCTCATTCACTGGAATACCGCGATGGCGAACTCCATGGAACAATCGCAGCAATGGCACGTGCTTTGCGAATGAGGAGGCTAGCTCCGAGCATACATACATTTTAGCCAAGTTTTCTCTGTCCTTCATTAGCGCCATCGGGCGGATAGCGAATCACATAATATTTACCTGTAAGATATTCAAACCAATATATACATGTAGTTTCGGAGACTATAGCAGACTATCTACGTAGAACATTTCATTTTATTGAAAATTTATTCAATCGCAGTTTAAAAATAGAAAAATTGTTTGATTCTAGCTTTATAGAAATATAGTGCGCATAATTTAGTATAATATATCCACAAAAACACTTTTAAAAAAGCATTTTTTAAATTTTTTGTTTAAAAAATTATTTTTGATATTTTGGATAATATTTACAATGAATCTATGGCTATGGCGGTTGTAGATGCTGGCAGAAATGTGTGAAAACAAGTCAACAAGATTTCGATTTGAATTTTTTTACACTCTTAACGAGATTTTCCAGCCGGAAAACAAAGCATTTGCATTTCGTAATATATTTTCCTATTTTCATGCGATATTTCATGTGAATATCTGCAGATGCATTTCCTCGAAATGTTTAGATGCTGTATTAAAGATATAAACAACATTGAGTCGTAGTTTCATCCACACACAAAACTAGTCCTCCAACTTGCTGTTTCTCGTAGTTACCGAGTGCCCGATTTCCCGAGAAAATCGTGTTTACCTACCAGCAAATCTCCGGCCTGCTCCTTGAATGCAACACACGCCGCCTGGCTGCCAGCGGTGCAAAAGGACGTCCCAGCTGATCGGTGATCACTCCCGCTACTGAAAATCAGTTGCTCCGTCGCGACGCTCCATGCCAGACGCGTTCCATCGACGCATGCATAAAACTTTTGGCGCTGCGTGTTCAGATTACTCCACGAATATTTCTACAATTTGGTGAATCTTCCGGAAGAATTCCTCGGGCGTAGACAACTCTAACAGGTATGAATTTTTATTTATTTTTAATTTTTTTGTTTTGTTTATGTGGAATATTGCATGATGCGTGCGTTATTTGTATGAGAATCACGAGCGTGTTTCGGTAAACGATTTCAATGCGGGTGGTGCTCCTCTGCGCTGGTTTCATTCGTACAAATGCACAAAAATTTGTTTTCGGTGCGTACTCTCCATTGTGCTCATTATGCTCGGGAGTTTACCGTACGTCTGGATTTCGTTTGTTCTCGCTTTCCTTTCACCTCGCCGGCTCGTTTTTCCAGCGGCCGTGAGTGAGTGCGTTGTATTAGATTACAAATCCTAAATGAATCTTGATGAAAAACCTAATGGAACGAGCGCGACAAATAACGAAGTAAAAATGCGTCCTTCTTGTTCATTAATTTCTGCTCTCCCTTGTCATTCGAATATTAATGCATGCATTCGCTGTCTTGACGTAAAGTTACAGTAAACAAACCATGCAACCACGCCGGTCTAAGATTTGCTGTTAGGAAATTTTCGAAAGTCACAAACAATGCACGTAATCCATTAAATTCCAAAATCGGATCATAAGGGAGTAATAAACAGGAGATAAGCAAAATATAATTGAAAAAAGTTTTGCATATAGGCCGCAAGAGTGAATAATAATAAGTTACAATGGACGACGTCGCTGGAAATAAAAGAAGAATGCAAGAAAGCCGGCAAAGTTTTATATTTTCCGTCGCGCGTAATTTATAGCCGGGATAAATCCGTTTTCGAGATATTTTCCTTTGTAAATCCGTTCCACCACGAATCGCGATTTAATAAAATCTCCATTTTTACAGTCGCTTTTCGCGGAATCATAAACTGTGTTTCGGCATGCAGCACACGAGGGCTGAAATCTGAGCGCCTCCTGCAGGAACCAGCGTAAAAGGAAAGCAAGAAACTGGGACAAGCGTCCGCCAGCAGGAGCTCGCCGAGAAATTAACTTAATGCGCAAAGAAATTGAATGAGCGTGCGCGAAACGTAATAAGCTTTAATTGAACACTGCATATATTGGCGTGTCCTTAATCTGAGCCGGCGGCATTTGTAACAGTCGCACACCGCAAAATCACAAAAGGTAAAAGTCAGAGACACAGAGTTGTCACACGAGATGCGATCATTTATTATGATCGGATTCGAGGTAAAATCAATACGATTCCGCGGTTTATTAGTCTCATGTGGCTTAATTAACTTTATTATTCCAATAACGGGCATTTATTAATGTTACGCATTTTGATTTATGATTATGTGCGCGTTTTTTTCGCCGACAGATTCGAGCATGGACGAGGCAGTTCACGCATTCCGCAACAGCAACCTCAACTCCAACTCCAACGAGACTTTCCTGGTGAAGCGCACCGATGATCCCAAGTACTTCTATGTCGCCATTGCGAGTTTAATCGTCTTCCTATTAATCTGTATGATTATTAACTGAATATTGCATAAAATGTTTGGTTGATTGAGTTGTTTATGTTGTAGCTATCATCACAACTGTCTTGCTATGTGTCACCCTGAAGAACGAGCCGATTCTCTGGGAGGCCGACGTGGAGAAACCTCCGGAACCGTCTGGAACCGCTGATGAAGTCGCTGATTCTTTTGAAGAACATGAGCGTGAATGCGAGGATGAAAACAACGTTTAGTAACATTCCACAAACTATGACTATAATATTACTCTCTCAATGGATGCTACAAAGTTGTTTTAATATATTTGTAAATGCACATAATATATAAAAAATATAACATTGTAAGGAAAAATAAAATGCTAGTGTACCTGGTGTGATTGTGAAGGATTGGTGCATGTAGGGATAAGTATCATAGCGTTAAAAAAGCGATTTTTTATAAAATCGGTTGATTTAATCTGTTTTTGCTTCTCGATTTAAATTTTCTTCTTTTTTTGAGTTTTTGGCGTGAATTTTTGGCTTTTTTTGTCGTTTAACTCTTGAACTATTCGAACAACATAAAATGTTTAATATTCTGGCTCGGAATCGCAAAGAATTTCACCAGTATCGTCTAGACACGCATCGTAATGATGACTTCGGCGGAATTTGGCGATTATTGACAGGAACGCTGAAATTTCAGGGGTTACCACCACGTCGTTCTGAAATAAATCATATTTTAAACTAAATTTTATTAAATTTATGTTTGTGTTACTTTAAAATATTTAAGGACGTTTTTTGTGATTGTCTCCAGATCGTTACCAACTGTAGCAGAGCATGTGTAAAGATTTGTCTTTGATTTGCGCACCATGGTGAACCAATCAGCCCGGCAGTCGAATTTACCCACCTGAAATAATAATAAATAAACAAATGAATTAATTGATATTTAATTGGTTGTATGTTGGTACTGGTGTCGCGGTCAAGGACTGGAAATATTCGGTTTCCCCAATTTCAGCGAGTAGTTCTTTCATGCACTCCAACTCATGCTTGGAGCAGGTTTTGATCTTTTTCAACATTGGTCGTCGCATTGGCACTGAACAAGCAATCTTGTCATATTTATTCTCGAAATTGGTCGTGGGTCTTTGTTGTCCTGGTGATGGTGTAAACAGCGGATGCATCATAGCTTGACGTTGTGCTCTCTGTTGATGGACTTGCTGTTGCAACACGAGTTGATAAACGTGTTGTTGAGCTAGAGCAGTTTGCTTCTCTTGCTGCTGCGCTAGCTTGTCATTGATAGCTTCAGGGGTGCATTCCTGGGGTGAATTCAAGATATCCTGGTCAAACCAATGACGCCAATCTAGACCACAAATTGCTTGTGCTTGTTCAGCAGCCGCGTTCTTTAGGGAGATGTTGTTGCATGCGGATATAGCATGCTCAAACTCATTATCATTACTGCAAGCCCTTTGAGCCTCGAGTCTCTTGTAATGTTGTTCGATATTCTTGGTGGTGGGAAAGAATTCCACTGTGGGGCAAGCTCTATCCGCACTGTACAACTTTCTGCTGTTACAGAATTTCTTCTTGGTTTCATTGATCATATCAATCCTGTCATGGGTTGGTGGAGTCTGCGATTCTTCATCTACACATGCATCAAAATCAAAATCCAAGGGATGTGTCCCCAGGTTAGAGTCGAAACCTTCTGGTAGAAAGGACATTTTTGGAGCGCGACTGCGATGGAGGAAGGGTGGTAAAGGCCCTGGATTGCTAACATTACTGTCCAGATTGGAGAATATACGGATCATGTGCTCGGTAAGGTCTCGGGTTGCATGCTCCCAAACAGAGTAACAGGCACGGAAGTCCGAGGTGAGTTCCCGGTTAATGTTCCCTAGGGATCCGTCTTTGACCTGCAGGTACCCTTTCATCAAGTGCCAGCAGTTGATCAAACGCACATAGGCATAGATAAAGTCCTTGGTAGCCCATGGTACACCCTGGGAATGAATATTGGCTACAGTCAAAAATGGGCGATTGATTTCGCCGCGGGTACGGAAGCACAGGTCGTGGATCTTCTTGAAACATGGTCTATGCTGATGGCGGATGGCAACCTTCTCAGCAATCTCACATCCGGCATCTAGGAATTTAATAAAATTCTCGGTTTCGGGATCATATAAATTATAGTAATCATTGGGATCATCTCCTGAGTTGTAGAAGAATTGCTCGCCGCTAGATTGCTCTGTGAATGACTCATTCTGCTTCTGCAATTGAGCTGCGAGGTTCTCCCGGAAGACCCTGTCATAGAAGGCGCGCTCCTGCACTGCTCTCTCCTGATTCAAACATGCGTTAATCACATGATCCTGAATTCGTTGCTCGCGTAACATCGTCTCCTGCGACAGTGTCAATTGCGCATTGTAGTTAATACCTCCGGATTGATTAACTTCCGGTACCTGGACACTATTGTTTTGTAATTTATTGAAGTACTCTCGTCCATACACCTGGGTCATCTGAGTCCTACAAGACGTAGGCGTCATCAGAGGTGTGGTGGTCTTTGATGAGAGAGATGTTACGCTCGCAAACGTAGAAGTGCTGGAGTGCTCTGTGCACGGTTTGGACGTTTGTGGTCTTTGGGGCATCGGAATGGTCGAGAATAATTGTGACTCCGGGGGTATTGGGATCATCTGGCCAATACGTCCCACTATGGGCACGCGGTATGCATGGGATATTTCTGAGAATTGAAATATGGGCACGGTAGGGTAAATTATTTGGCCCGGCTGACAGCTCGGTATGTTTGGGATTAAGAAAGCGGTTATTGGTACGCTGGTTACGGGTTTGTTCGCTTCCGTCTGCATTCCCGACGAGACGGGGTTTGGGCAATGGGGGTAGTTCATTCTGTGTTTTGTTGTTCAGAAGAGCGCTAACGAAAGCAAGAGCTGTATGCTCAGGCACCTGAAATGAAACACATAATGTGGTAATAGGGACCCCTTTTTCAAATGTCAAAAGGGCTGATAAAATTTTATAAAACATGTTTCACGTTATTTATTTCTGACCACTGAATATTTTACGTCTTTTGTGAGCCTAATATCCTACTAATTCTCCTGAGTAATGATTTAAATATATACAGATTGAAATATTCTTACTTTTTTAATGATATGTAGCTGCAGAAATTTTGAACTTAGAGGTGACACTGAATATGAATTTTTTTCGAGAAATAAAATGTCAAACAAGGAAACAAAAGCAGTTGCTATGCATGCGATAATATAAAGAAATGAAAATTAAAAGTTTTGCATAAATAAAATTCGCTGAAAATCGCATTGAAGAATAAACGCGCAGTATTGCTGCACAAATATTCAATGCAAGCGTAAATAAACACAATCTCACGCGGAGAGGATAAAAAAGTTTCACAAGAATCGTGTGATCCGATACGGATAAAGGTAAACAAACAGCTCGCAACGCATCCAATTCCAAGAGATTTAATATAAAAATTTGCATTTGAGCGACATCTTCTCTTGAATTATAAAGTTTTACTGAAGGTGATTGCACGCACACCATTACATTTATTTACGTTTATTTTAACGTGATAACAAACAGAATTCCACGATAATACGATAATACAATACAATAATATTGTTGAATAGAGGAGTTTACAGATATTTTATGCAAGTTATGACAATTTTTATATAAGTACTATCGAATTATACTTCTTTAGCGCTTGTAATGATAAACTGTTTCAAGAAAATGACAAAAAGTCAAAAAAATAATTGTTTACATAGAAATTTATTCTTAAGAATTAAAAACTGAATCAAAAATTAGTAAACGGTTAAATATTATATGCTTGGGAATAAAAGAATTTATAAATAAACGCGTAGATTTGCTGCATAAATATTAAATGCAGGTAGAAGTAAACACGTTCTCGTTCGTTGTTGATAAAAAAGGTGCGCAAGAATTGCGTGATCCGTATCAGAATAAAAGTAAACAAACAGTTAGCAGCAATCCAATTCCATGAAATTTAATCTAAAAATGTGCATCTTAGCGACATCTTCTCTTGAATCTTAAAGTTATATTGAAGGATGCTATTCGTTCAATTGATAAGGTGTACGTGCACCGATAGTGTAGGTAGTATCGATGCGAAGGTAAATCGCATGCACAAACTCCGCTCGCAAATTTATCTCAATCTTATTACCAACGCTCGCTGCTGCAATACTATGATATATTATTAATATTGGAATAAAATATAATAATATTGTTATATAAAAGTCCACAATAGATTTAAAATAAACTAATTTTTATACAATTAACGCGAATTTAACTCATTTGCTGCTTGTAATGATAAACATGTTGCAGATAATGTCAAAATGTAAAAATTAAACAAATATGTACATAGAAATTTATTTCGACGTCCCCAGTAGTAAAAGTGGCTTAAAATATTTGTAGAATATGCTTGCAACAAACATTTTTACACCTGTAGATTATTTTTACTTCAAAAGTGCATCGTAACGCCATCCAGGAATCATATCAAAAGTATACATGTAATTTATTGTGTATCAGTAAGAATACATTAAGAAAGCCGTACTAGAGTTGTGTCTGTGAAGGAAAATTAATTTCACACTAATCCGAGTGCTTCCAACAGTGTGCGCGTCTTTTTACAATTAAAGAAGTAGCATTTTTAAATATAACTGTACAATCCAAGTCGAGGTGGCGCTAGAATGCACTTTTACGAATTAAATTAAACTTCATTCGACACTTTCGCCTTGAATATCGAACAATAACAAGATTATCAGTTCGGCACGATATTTCTGTTGAAATTCTTACAATAACATCACGATGCGTTTGTTTATTTTATAGTATGTAGATAAAAAACGAACATGTAGATTAAAAAAACGTGTTTATAAAACTTGAAACATGATTTATAAGTACACGAGGAATAAAATACAGAAAGTAAATGTAACTACCCAGAGTAAACCTAGATGGCGCTAAGATGTACTTAAGTGAATTAAACAGCCATATCCCACTTAAAAACAACTTCATAGTTTGACCCAAGATGGCATTACAGTGCATTTTAATGCATTAAATTATACATCGTACGACGTTCAACGTACTATCATATCACGATAAGATAATCAGGTAAACCTGATATTTTACGTTGAATCTCGTGCATAGAACGCACAAAAATGGTTTATTTATTTTATAGTAAATAAATCAACAAATAAAATTTTACATGTTGTTAAATCTTATTTTATTTCAATTAAAATAAAATATATTTTCTTTATCGAATACGTAATCCATGTTTAATAAAAAAAAAATTAAATTAAAATTAAATTTCTGAAATTTCCATATTTATCCATTTCCGATAATAACCATATGAAATTAAATTAATGGTTCCATCATATCTAATGACTGTGAATACGCCGGTTTGCTAATGATTATATCCCTGATATTTATTGTGCGTACAAAGCCGAATGAAAGATCGAAAAAGATTAAAGGCGACACACAACAATGACACATGAATCATAATGAATCAAAGAAAAATGAGAAGGTGTTGGTCGCATCAAATTGACGACGAATTTGATGATTATAACGTGCGTGCATCGAGAAATAACGCCCACGCCATTGATGTTTTATTAATCATACCTCGCGTCCAAAAATACATACAACAAGCACCACACGAATAAATGAAATGAAAAGATCCTTTCATCGCTTGCACAACTACTTCTCGTAATGAGCGTGAGGAATTAGCGAGCCCCATTTGGCTTCGAAGCTGTTGTGATAATATTTGGATATTTGTTTGTTTTGTGTTTGTTTACGAGACAAAGTCAGCGCAGCGGATTCGGAATGTTGTGTTCTGTTGTTATTTGAGATTTTCCGCGCGCACAGGGTGGAAAGGCCTGCGTTTGCAAAGCGGCGTCTATTTTTAAATGAAACTATACCGGTCGCATGCAACAATGTATGCTGTATGCTATTCCCCGGCACTTTGCGCATTTGAAGTCACGTAGAGTGCCTCAGGTGAAAGATGTGCTCAATTAAGTGTGCCATGGCCCACGATTACAATTCTCGTGCATTAGGCGCACCTGCACTCTGCGGAATAAACTGCCCAGCCGAGTTTTTGGATAAAATTTATTAAGATCATCAACAAATAACAAGTGACCATTCAAATTCAACAATAAAATCAATTAACAACAGTTACCACCAAATGAATGGGTAACGACATTTAGCCATGTTTGGAATGCACATGTTTGTGACCATGTTTGTGCTCATGCTTGTGTCCATGATGATGGTCATGCTTGTTCTCATGTTTGTGTCCATGATGATGACCATGCTTGTGTCCGTGATGATGGTCGTGCTTGTGGCCATGATGATGGTCGTGTTTGTGGTCGTTGTGGTGTTCGTGTTTGTGTCCATGATGGTGGTCGTGTTTGTGGGCCTGATGATGGTCGTGGCCATGCTCGTGTTTGTGCCCATGATGATGATCATGCTTATGGTCCTCGTGATGGTCCTCCTTGTGCTCCTGGTGATGCTTATGCCCGTGCTTGTGACCATGCTTGTGATCATGATGATGGTCATGCTTGTGGTCCTGATGGTGGCTGTGGGCATGCTTGTGTCCATGATGATGATCGTGCTTGTGGTCCTGGTGATGGTCGTGCTTGTGCTGGTTGTGGTGGTCGTGTGCGTGCTTGTGCTCCTGCTTGTGTTTGTGGTGATGTTCCTGCTTGTGCTGGTGCTTGTGCATGTGGGTATGTTTGTGGTAATGGACCTCGGCGTGCTCCTCGTCCTCATGGTGGCTCTTTTGATCCGCCCAGCGACTCTCGGAGTTCTCGGCGTCACGCGGTGCTAGCTGCGTTTGGTCATCGGCATCAGCAGCCGCCTCGCCGTAATCCTCGTAGTCTTTGGACGTTCGCGACTCCACCGGGGACTGCTCCTCGGGTTTGCTCGGTAGGTCTTCTCGAAGGTCGAGAACAATTCGTCGAAGTGGCGGCCGGGCTCGGCGTTGGTCTGGGCCACGGCCGGCGCTACGTTGGCACTGTTCCCGGTGTTATCGACTTCGGCGTTGCCGGGGGCGGCGGGGAACTTCTGAGGGTAGGTGATGTAAGGTGGCTGGTGGACGTAGTACGGCGCCACATATTGTTCGTAGTCGATGCGGTATGAGCAGACGCCCAAGAAGACCGTGGTCAAGAAACACGCGGTTGTCTGATCATGAAAATCAACAAATTACTCTTTTTGAAGCCCAAAATTAAAATTATCACAATTTTAATATTGACAATATGACTCTGGATGCAATGACTTTCTTTTTTCGCTTGCTTAGCAAATTGAATGAGATACTATTGAATGTGCTCACCAAAACTCCCATGTTGGATTCCTAGTAGGTCTTCTTAGAGCCCAACGAAGCTGAGTACTGTCTTCCGTTGGCGAATCGTTGCGTATTTATACTCCCCGAGATACGCTAGTTAATCGTAATTAATTCAGAATAGCGTGCCGTACCATTCGATGCCTTACTCATTTAATTTCTCGTTGGTACAATTTGTGCATCCCGAATCTTGCGCTTCGATTGTTTCCATACCGTGTTCGCAGCGATTTTATTACTTTGTGCATTTTGCATGGAGCTTCGCGCTTCTCGCTTCTTGCGTTTTATCGATAGTACCGTCATTATTTATGAAAATATCCCAAGCGCGTGCACTCTACGTACGAAAACCAGCGTGAATCATTAATAATAATTCATAATTGTTCCTAACGGAAGGCCGTGGACGTGCAAATCAAAAGCCAGGCAGTGTGAAATCTTGAATCTTGCCGAGTTTCACTTTATTTGCATTCAATTCTGTAGGCACGAGAGCATCGATTTCTTTTTTCGCTGATATTGAATCGAAGTGTTTGATTTAAGCCAATAGTTCACACCAGTAGACACCGGATTCAGTTCGCACGCACGATCCACATCTCGTGCTCTATTTGCGTTCGAAGTTGAATAAGCAAATCATAAGCATTGGCATAGTCTAAGTGCATCTTTTGCTTATTACGGAAATGATCGCAGCAGAGCACTTCAGCGTTTATTTGTGTATGCCAAACAAATATTAAGTGTGCCCGTTTAAAATTCCACACTCCTCCTCGCCGCCAACTTGTTATGATAGAAATAAACATTTCGATGCCCGAATATCTTCGAATGGGAATGGGAATGAAAACACAATCATTCTCGAGCACTCTCGGCGCGAGGAGCGTGATTAAGAGCAGCATTCGAAACGTTTAAATCGTTTCGGAATTACCCAACGGCGACACGAAATTTGTTCCTTTTTCGGACCGGCATCATCGGGCCTCCAGCGCGAGCATTAAAACAGATAAGCATCGGTTTTATTGGGTTGTTGGGTTGTTTGGTCGCTTGTTCCATCTTGGGATGACCACCATTAAGGTGCTGAATAGACAAATAAGTGGTGCTTTTGGCACGCACACCTACACCCAAGAAGACAAAAATAAAACGCGACTCCTCTGTATAAGTTAAGCGTAGGCGCGTGGTTTCTGCTCCTTTGCTTATTGTTATTCATTCGCTTGTTGCAAGGCGTCGCGTCGCGGTGTGGTACAGATCGATCTCAGCGATTAGAGGTCCATTATGCCCGCCGAGAAAAACAAGGCGCGCGAGCACCTCGAGACGAAATCCAGAGTCATCGGGTGGCACCGCATCACGATAAAAGTCGTCTCCAATTGGTACGACAATGAATTGGAAAATCGGATTAAACAGAAAACAACGAGTACGGTGCTTCGAATAGAGTCAGTCAAGCTGAACCCCCGTGTAAAGCACCTCCATCGTTGCCAATTACGCATCATTATAGCCCGAACTTGAATATGTGGGACCTTTTCAATATGTTTTTCTTCAGCCACCTGGAGATACTATGATAAATCAAAAATTACATCATCGTGCACGCGCTGCGCGGAGAGAGCGTGCAACAATCATTTAAAATGATTCAGTATTTTATTTTCTTTCCAGCCAGCCTCACTAATAGTCCCATCCTGCTCGAAAGTGTTTTCCACCAACAATGAAGAATGAGTTGGTGTATCAATAACCAAATCATTCGTTCCTAATAAAAGCTGATAGTTTCGGCTTGAAATGGATTCAATGGTGATGATTTTATAATGGCCCTCGAAAACTTGCTGACAAATGGCTATGATTGCTTGGATATTCGTATCGAAATGATAGAAAACAGATCGATTAAACTCCGGTACTTCAAATATCCATTAGCGTATTTTTCATCGAAATTAATTTCCAATTTGATTGAAACAACAAAAAATATTCAGTGGCTGCAAATAAACTCTTCTCAATTATTCCAGCCAGCGCGAGTCAGCCGTATGCAACCGACACGGCGCGTGAATGTAATTAAAACAATGCGAGCAATGTTATAAAAGCGTCTTAACGCGCCAAGTTTAGCGCCGGCTTCAAACAAGACGTACTACATGAGCCGCGCCACCACTTGCCGCGGCGCACACATCATTCCCGTCGCTTGTCCGCCGCGGATTTGAATTTGATTTAGACTTGGCTTATAAACATTTAATTAACCCGAACCGCATTATTCGCAATCCGAAAGACTGCTCCATCCGGCGGCGGCGCGCGCGCCCGCGCGAAGAAGCATGCCAAGTTACGTAATTACAAAACTTGCTTCCTTGTATACCTACAATGGTGGCGGCGGAGGCGGCGGAGCGTTCGCGAGACGTATTACCACCCCTTAGACTCCATCTAGCCGAATGAGTTAAATGGTATTAGGCGTCGGTGCGCATCCGAAGTGTGATTATTCAGTGACAACTCGAAGTCGCTCCGCGTGTTCTGTTTCAGTTTTTGTTCTTCCAGCGCGTAGTAAATGACCCCGACTGCTTTGGATTTTCTACATTTGCCCAATTTGAATACTCTTCCAGGCCTGGGCGAAAGTTTAAATTTGAAACTCACACATTACGCGCTTATTTGCGTAATTCTTAAGACAGCTGCCGCGACGTCTTGCTCCATGCACATCTCGTCCTAATTAGTCATTTATACATGGTACCGAGGTAATTTTAAGAACTTTATTACTTCTTAGAGAGGTGTAGTTACATCAATGAACAAAAATTCATCAAAATTTTCAATAAATTTCGATTTTATAAAGGATTTTACTTAAAATACCTTCAAAATGATGAATTACACGCAATTAAACGTCTAATTATCACAATTAATATTATTCAGGCAGGAATCAAGATGAATCCGTAGTGGGTCTTCTTGCAATTTATTTATTGATTGACGTTGTGCGTTCCCTGAATTTTTTTGTTGTTTTATTTGTAAAAAAGCATCGCAATCATTTTTCCAGCTTGCCGAGCTTGCAGCTTTGATTTCGTTTGACATTGCACGTTATTTCATTATTTATTTATCAATATACATCGTATGTCGCATGCAAATTGTGTTTGTAGTTCGTTATGAATTGATCCCGCGCCTCACTTGCCGGTGTGTGTTCGTAATGTATGCGATACATTACTCCACATACACGCGCGCGACATTAATGTCATTCATATTAATTTAATGGCATTATTTTTTTGTTGCCGGGACTTGGTTTTTCTTATATTCGCGGTGCGCCTCGCCTGATCTGTTTTATAAGACGGCGCAGCATCCAAGCGTCCAAGAGAGACCTAAACGCGCACTTTACGAGCATCATTTTTCTTTGAACGGCTCTACGTGCGTCCATGACCGTTGACCACGCGTGCCCAAGGGCTGCAGGCAATGAAGAGAGTCCGTCCAGGCGGGCCCCGGGAATGAATAAATAAATAATTTCTTTCTCTTCGCGGCATTCGCAGTCGTTGGCATGCATAAATGACGCCTTCGAAATGACGGATTTTAATTGCGTCTGCTGAGGATCCTCTGGCAAATGACAATAGTGCCAGTGCCAGTGTCAAGACTCTTACCTACTCGTTCACAGTTCATTTCGTATGCATTTTATTATAATACATGTATGTAATCATAATTAAATAATAATAACATGCTTCAAAGATTTTCTGAAGACAATTGTGTCTTTCGAGTGCTTAAACTCCTCTCTTCTAGTCGTCTTCGTTATTTTTTTTTAGTTTTTTTGTTAGAAGAGTATATTAAGCAGTCGGTTAAGTACCGCGTGCGTTTTTGGCGTTTTGTTCCTGTGAATCGTCGCGGCGCGCAGTTTCCGCGATGTGGCGAGGCTAATCTAATCGCGCTAATCGCAGCGTCTTTTCCGTTTCAGTGTTTGGCGCAGGTTTCGGCTCAGCTACTCATCTTGGGATTTCTTCGTCGCGTTTAATGTGTTTACTCGCGTTTCTCATGTAATTTAATGTAACGAACGTTACACATGCTTATGGCAATAATTATGAACGCAAAACATGCTAGCGCTGCATTAGTTGCTTTTGACTAATTTTTCCGAGGTTTTTCTGTGTCCTGTGGATATAATAGTCAATCGACTAATTTCATGCGAGGGCAAATGACCAATCTGAGCGTGTTTTAATTATCCCACAACGGATTTTTTTCTTTTTTTGCTAGAAAAGTCAATTTTCATGTTTATTCTAGAAGATGCGTCTTATAACTTTCGATTAGTCTTCTCTGTTCGTATATTACGACCGGGTGTATGGCAAAACTCACACAATTGCGTTTTATTCACAATATAGCTAATTATATTTTAATGTATTTTGAAAAATTTAAAATTGGTGTGTTTTACATCTCTAGGGAAATTAAGTTTTTCCACGGTTTTGAGACGTAAAAGTAGTATTTTAATCACGGACAGCCAAGGTTGTGACTAAAGTACTTTAGTCACGGGTTTTAGTGACGGGGTAAAGCTTACGCCTGCGCAAAACAAGTGAAAGTAGAAAATATAGCAATGTTAAACACTCGATTGATTAAACGCTTGTTACACTCACTCTTCATCAATCTTTTGACTAAAACTCACATTTAGCGACTTGATGCTTAATATACTCTTAACG